CTCATTAATATTCAGATACATTTGAATACTTATAATTTCAGGTAATTAACATTTGAATGGAACTTTTTTTAAAAATTGATGGACCGAGAGAGTGTGTGTGTGTGTGTGTGTGTGTGTGTGTGTGTCATGGCCACAGCTGGTTGCCCGCCTCTGCTGCCTGCTTTGTCTTGCTGTCAGCAGCACATCCTGCCTTTATGGCCTTCTCTCAGTCGCACCCATCAGGATGGAGAGAAAGCCGGATATCTAATTGTGTGTTGCGTAAGATTGCTTTCGGAGAGAGCGTTCTGCATCACACTGCACTGGTTACCATGATGACAGTGCAGACAGATTTGTTGCAGTTCGTTTTGTCATATCTGTGTCTACTGTTTGGTGCCACAATAGTGAGCCGAACTCATTTCTGTATGAATGTCGATACACTTTTTGAGGCTTTTTTTGAGTTATTAAGCAGAATAAAGCCTGCTGCTCTTTGATTTCCCTAGATGTCTTTCTTTTTTATATTCCAAAAGCTGAATGCGTTTCTCTGGAGTCCTTCAGAGGGATTAAAGTGCCCAAGGCATTTTCACAGTCATTGTGTTTGCTCTCTTCCTGTATTCACAGTCTGCCCTGCCACGTCTGTGCTATTTACCCTGCCGAGGCTCAGGTAAACAAGCAGCCTATTCAACCCCATGCTGCGCCTAATTACACAGCCAAACTAATGGCAGGATCCATTAGCAGACGCCGAGACAATCGGCTGGTGTGTACTCTACGTAAGCATGCCGGCATGAATATGCCAAGTGCATGCTGATGAGGGATGTGTGGATATGTCTACCGGGTTCCTGTGGGGCTCTTGGGAAGCCCTGCTGATTCTGTCTGCACACATGACTCCTGGTGTTGAGGGCCATGTTTAATGTAACGGGACCTGGAACTTGTTGGAACACCTGTGGTGTGAGGGACCACATGGTGATTCTCATCCAGGAGAAACTTAATTCCTCAAACATGCTGAGATGTACTACTGTATGCTAGGAAATGAAGGATAGGGCTCCCCTTTCACCCCTAAAGTTTCTGAACTGCCTTCCTGCACTTTCTATCACCCTCTCAATCACACACACACACAAATAGATGAGACCCAAACTGAGCCAGACAAGACAGTCTGGCTTCCGGCTGTGGATAATGTTGTTAGATGGATTGTTTCCTCGGTTGCTCCGTCTGATATGGGCTTTTAGCAAAGGCGTGCTGTAGATTACAATCTACTCTAAGTGATATTCGATATGGAATTCTTTTTTCAGTAGCAGGTAGCCGCTCTAACTGGTTTAGGGCGATTCTTAGCGCTTCTTCCCGGAGCCATCAGCCACACCCCATATATATATATATATATAAATATAAATAGGTTGAAGTTTAAGGAGATATTTGGAATTTCAGCATAAGGTTCATCTTTGAATGCTCATGTGAAATTCATTATAAGTAGAACTAAACTCAAATTGATCTTGTCATATTTAGATTATATACTTATACAAATACAATACAGCCAACATAGTGTCTGATTTTTTTTTTTAAACATGCTAATGTCTAGCTAACAAGTAACAGATATTTGTCTCCTGAAATCCCAATAACAAGCTCCTTCCAAATATAATTTATTGTCTCTATTTGCTAATGTGGTTTAGGACACAGTATAACTTACTGTAATTATATTATAAAGATGAACAATACTTCAGACTGTACCCCCCCAAAAAAAAGACACTCAGCCTACTAAGGTTTGGGAAAAAAAATTGTATTTAATTTGTAAAACATGAGGTATCAGAACATATAGACAGAAGTGTGCTCTTGACTCCTGTGCTACTCAGCTAAGTCGATTGAGATCCTCCAGGGTCTTTGGGAATTTTGATACAGCCCTGCACACCACCAGCTGATTTGATTAAAGAAATGACTTCATTAACAAACAAGACAAAATTTTAGTGTTGTATATTTGTAGTGGTACATGTCTTTTTGCTTTAATGACAGTGTGCCCTCAAGCTGGCACAGACTCCACAAGGTTGTGTAAAACCTGATGACCTGTGTTAGATCAAATCCATTTGTGTGTCATCTGAACATGTATATTATATAACCATAATTTTAATACTTGGATGAAAATCCTTTGCAGTCAGTGACTGCCTGTAGTCTGGAGCCCATGTTCTCAAAACTCAAATTCTGAGTTTCCTCCCTGGAGATGCGTTTCCAGGCCTTCACTGCAGACACCTTCAGTTGCTGTTTGTTTTTTTTTTGGGTCTTTCTGCCTTCAGTCTTGTCTTCAGTAAGTAAAAAGCAGCTCTACTGGGTTGAGATCAGGTGACTGACTTGGCCATTGAAGAATATTCCATTTCTTTGTCTTCAAAAAGTCTTGAGTTGCTTTCGCAGTATGTTTAGGGTCATTATCCACCTGCACTGTGAAGCAGCATCCTGAATGTGAGTGGAGAGTATAGTCCTATACACATCAGAATTCATCTTGCTACTTCTGTCAGCAGTCACATCATCAATAAACACCAGTGAGTACGTTCCACTGGCAGCCATACATGCCCATGCCATAACATTTCCTCCACCATGTTTGACACATGATGTGGTATACTTTGAATCATGAGCTGTTCCTTTCCTTTGCCATACTTTTCTTTTCCCATCATTCTGGTACAAGTTAATCTTGGTTTCATCAGTCCAAAGAATCTTATTCCAGAACATGGGAGGCTTTTTTAGATGTTTCCTGGCAAAGTCTAATCTGGCTTTCCTGTTCTTGAATGTTACCAGTGGTTTGCACCTTGTTGTAAACCCTCTGTATTTACATTCATGAAGGCATCTCTTGATTGTAGATTTTGACAATGATATGTCTACCTTCTCCAGAGTATTCTTGACTTCTGTTGATGTTGTGAAGGGGTTTTTCTTCACCAAGGAAAGGATTCTGCAATCATCCACTTTAGTTGTCTTCCGTGGTCTTCCAGGCCTTTCGATGTTATTGAGCTCACCAGCGCTTTCTTTCTTTTTAAGAATGTACCCAACTGTTGATTTGGCCACACCTAAGGTTTTTGCTATCTCTCTTATAGATTTATGTTGTTTTTTCAGCCTAATGATGGCCTCCTTCACTTGCATTTAGATCTCCTTGGACTTCATATTGGTATCTCCAGTCAAACAGCTGCCAACTGCCAACTCAATACCTGATATCAACTCCAGACCTTTTATCTGCTTCATTTGTCATGAAGTAATGAGGGAATGGACCGCACCTGGTCAATTAACTTCTTGTCAGTCAATTGTCCAAATTCCTTTGAGCCCCTGAAAATGGAAGCACTTTGCTTAAAATAATGGAATAACACACACACACACAGTATTGTGCAGTACTTAGGCACCCTTTTTTGTAGTACAAATTTGGTTGTATACAAATAAGTAAATAAATAAATGTGTGTGTATATATATATATATATTCTCTGTTGTTGGCTGTATTTTTTTCTCATCCACTCTTTGGACTCGGCTAAATAATGCCAACAAGGGTTATTAGGTTTTGCTTCTGAGTGCACGTTAAGGCAGTAAGGGCGTATAGTGGGAGCTTTCGAGCACTCTTTTGAACCCGAAGACTACAACTGTACTGTTTGGGACAGGGCATCCATCTAGTTTAAGACTGGTGCAAAGATTACAGGAAGAGGAGAGAAGAGAAACTGAGGAGAGAAAGAAAGGAGAATGGAAGAAAAAGGCAGGCTCAGCAGGTAAACATGAGAAGAATTTGGCACATAGACACAACTGAGCTGAAAGTATGTAGCGAGCTGGAGGCTGAACGTTTGACTGGCAGGGGGTGGTGGCATAACTGAAATATCTTTTTTTTTGTTACTTCACATATTCTGAACATTTTTGCTGAATTTACTGAATATTTACATTGCTTTAGGATTCTTCACAGCAATGTGGTAGAATGTTTGCTCTACGACACATGACCAGTTTTGTTTTATTTTCATTCATAAGGTTTCTGATCATATCTCAAGTTATCACGTATTGATTTAGCAGTAAGTTAAGAAAGAGATATAAGACGTTACATTGATCCAGCAATGTCGTGTAACTTTTTCTAGCTCACCACCGGAAGATATTCATTACAGAAATGAATCATCATCAACCATCCCACTGTCTGCGTGATTAATATTTCCGCCTGGAGGTTATGCAGCAAATGTCATGTTATTCAAACCACTCTGAGGGAGAGGTTCACCAAAGTATTACCCTGTTGCTGACAAGGTAATAACATGCATCCTCAAAGTGGTAAAGTTTGGAAATAAGGCTAGAAGTAGAGGGTTTGACATTTCTGACAAACTTTGAAGTGATTAAGAGTTCATATTCATCAACCCCTGGAGCTCACAATGTTCAGAAGCTGTCATCAGACCTTTTGAGATGTCGTGGTATGATATTATATGATATCTGAAAAAATACGACTTCATTTAGATAGCATTTCCTTGAGTTTAAGGTGCAACAGAATGCTATAAATAAAGATAAAATATGACAAACTACAAGGCTTTTCCAGAAATATGCCACTAAAAAAGAATTTAATGGAATAAATAGGCATAAAATGGAAAAAAAAAACAGAAAAATAGGAAGCAGGAGAAATAAAAATATGAATTAAAACACTGAAAACAGTGTTTCTTGAATAAATTACATCAGAAGTCAACATATATTGGTGTAGTGTTCATGTTAACACTACAGATCCAACAAACAAACATGTAGATAATACAACCCATTCCCTCATCACAGCGAGTACCTAGATTTATATATGACTTTTGCATGAACTTTAAAACTAAACCTCTGTTCATGTTTAGTTCAAAAACACATTTAAAACTTGTGTTTTCAGCTGCTTGAGAAATCTTCATGTGAATTTCAAAACTAGCCTGTTCTCTTTTTCAGCATGATATTTTGTTTTCTCTTTACATTTTATGGCGTTTGGCAGACGCTCTTATCCAGAGCAACTTACATTTATACAAGTAAGCAGTTGAGGGTCGAGGGCCTTGCTCAAGGGCCCAGCTTTGGCAGCTTGGCGGTGCTGGGGATTGAACTCATGACCATCTGAGCAGGAGGCTGATATCTTAACCACTGAGCCACCGCTGCCCCTTAAGCTGTCTACAAAAACAGAATATGGGAAATATCCGGTAGTCTAACACTAGTCTAACACTAATCTGAAATCTGTAACTGGTGTGCAGAAAAGGCATTCCAGGATTGAGTTTCCATACAGACCTACAAGCTGTTGTCACAGTTATAATGGTTTATAATGGTTATAATAGTACTAAAGATTTCTACAGTGCTGATAATTGAAGTGTCTGTGATAAATATGACATTTAACAATACTTGATCTTTTAGTAAATAATATGATTTATTATACAGCAGTCCACTAATTTGATTGGTTGAGCAGCTTTTCAAGAGTGCTAATATTTAGTTTAACTGCACTGTGACATCCGTCTGTGTTCTCCATGTAAAATTCCAGTTCTAGCAACAGTTCCACTGAAACCATTACTACAGTAGAGTTAGCAACATCATCAATGGATATGGCAAACGATCTATCTTTCATGAATATAACTTCTGGCTTTGAATATGAAAGCTCGTCAGATGAAGATGAAAAGGAAGAAGGGACGCCAGTTTCACTGGAATCACCTTTAATGGAAATGTACAAATCAGTGTGAGCTAGCTAGCCAGCTAGCTGATGGGATATCAGTGAATGAGGCTTCTTCATGATCTATTTCTTTGTCAGCAAAAATAAACATATTATTTGGACATATTGTGTCTGAAATATCACTTTCTCAATATTAGTTTCTTATTTATAAAACTGTTATAAAAGCAGTATTGCATTTGCAATCGTGTGGTTATACTGAATATTGGCACGGCTGTGATTAGCTACAGCATTCGTGCCTAAGGCTGAATCACAGCCTTTTTTCCTTTACAGTGTCTTTGTTTTTCTCTGTTTGCTCACAAAGCAGTGATTCTATAACAACACTCATTTAGAGGGTTTGTTAAAGCCAATCATCTATTCATTCCCTCTGATTCTATACACACACAGTAATTATCCCAGTCAGTAATTGCGTCTCTGGTCCTGTGTCCTTAATGAAATGTGCAGTCCTGTGTTTCATTTCTGTCTGGCTCTTCTCCTCTAAATTCATGTCTGAATACTTCTGGTGTTTTTTGTGAATAATCTAAGATTTATTAATATGTATGGCATTTGTGAATCTGCACTTCAGTTCTCTTTTCGCCAACCAGTGCACTGCTATTTTTTTTTTCCTGCACATCTCTGTCCTTCCATGCCAACCCACAGTTTCCATGGTAACAGCGACTTTGAGGGGCGTCTCACATCAGCAGCATGAGCAGATGTGAGTGTGGTGTGTGTGCATGCATGTGTGTGTGTAGCTCAGTCTGCACGGCAACCCACCTCTCTGCCAGACGCCACGGATGAGAGGAAAGATTTTGAAGGAGAGAAAGAGAGGAAAAAAAAAAGATTTATTTACAGATGTGCCGGATTGGTTGCCAGTGTATTGTGTTTTTTTTTTTTTTTCGTTAAAGAACGCATGAGCTGAGTGTTTGCGTGTCTCTGCTGCTTCCTGTCCAGGGCTTCCTGAGCCGAAGGTTGAAAGGCTCCATCAAACGCACCAAGAGCCAACCCAAGCTCGACCGCAACAGCAGCTTCAGGAACATCCTCCCGGCCTTCAAGAACGCCGACAATGACAGGTAAACCACACACACACACACACACACTCGAATGCTGGTGTGTATGTGTTCATTCAGAGCTGCGCTGTATTTAATGGCTGCATGAGGAAGTCAGCGTTTTGTTAGGACGAAGCAATTAAGCATCACCGCCTGCAATTCCTTAACTTAATGTGGATTTTTTTCAAATCATTCAGAAATTCTAACACATTGAATTGCCTGGAAGAGATCAGAACATTAAAAATTAAAATGATTGAGCTGCCTTTAGAGTACTTCTATTTCTGTTATTCAAAACCTTAATAAAAAGTATTAGTAATAAAAAGCTGACATTCAGTTATTCACGTTTATTAAAAAGTTTCTTCCGCTTGTTGTGACGATGCAGATTTTTTTTTTTCTTTTTTCCTGTGCCATGTCAGTATAATCATCCACATTAGGCCCAAACATTGAGCATCTTTATTACTGCTGTTAGCAATCTTTAGAGCAACTTATTACAGTAATAAACCCTTTGAGTCATCTCTCTCAGATGAACTGAGCTCTGCGCGTGTGTGTGAGAGAGAGAAGGGAATTGGATCACTCTGAGGATGAATGGTCCAGCTGCAGTCTAATTTGTGTGAGATAGCCTGTGAAATATGTCTATCCCTTCTCAACTGTACCCAAGAGCTTTGGAGGAGAGTTGTCGCACACAGGATTTCTGATGTTCTAGTCATGTCCTGGTTTTCAGCAAGTGTAAATTACTTCCGGTCATGACCATTCCACTTCTTTGGACTTCTATTCAAAAACGATGCTAATAAAGAATATTATGATGACATTTAGTGAAGTGTTTGAAGGCGTCTAAGAAGCTCAGGCTCTAACATTACGTAATTAAAGTTCTCACAAAACAGGGTGGACAAATGATAAATTAATTATCAAGCCCACCAGGCAAGTAAAAGCTCCAATCCCTGTTTTTGTTGCCTGGAAACTTAACTGACTAGGCTAAAAAATAGTAGCTAACATACTGTAACACTAATGTAGTGTGATAGCATATGGCCAGGTAGTTAGCTAGTTAGCTAGTTAAGTGCATTAACACAAAACAAACGTAACAAACATAACAAACAAATACATGAATTGGGCAACTGTGTAGTAATGCTACTTTGGCTTACCTCGGAAGTGGGAAGTTGGAATGACATAATTTTCAACCTCCATGCATTCATGCTACAAAATGCGGCAGAAACCTCGGCGCCTCCATGGTCGTCTTTTGTTACACAACAATGAACTGAGTAGTCCATGTTATAGATTTAACAAACTAATATGTCTGTATGTTAATTGATCTAAATTAAATTACTTGTACATACAGCATAACTTATTTAAAGTAAAAAGAGGGTTTTTTTTAACGCTATGAGTAGCCATGTTGATTTGACATAGACTGTACTGAGTTTTCCTTGAATTTTCCTAGTCGGAGATCGGAATTTATGAGTTACAACCTTTAGTCGAATGCAGCAATAGTCTTTATTCAACCCGTGTAAGATGATCTAATGTAGCACATTGTGTTTGTGATCTTGACAAGAGATCAACAAGTTGTTGGCGAAGGTTTTTTTTGCTATGAGCGCTGGTGTTCTTTCCTCGTATTGTAAGCATAAATAGTGTCTAATTATAGCTAGCATGTGTGTATATTTTCTCATAATATGTTTAACCACTGCATGTACAAAGCAGGAGAGTTAAATGAAGGCTCGGTTTTGTTAGTGTTTCCATACACCTGCTTGTTCTGAAAAGATGATTTGTCTATCATCTGTGCATTCTAAATAATCCTCCTGTGAAAACGGTTTTACCATCAGCCAGGTTGTGTCCCTCGACTGATGTGTGTAGTGCAGCAGGTGGCGGGATTCAGAAACACACGCAATTTGCATCAACATTATTAAGTATCGTATTATGTTTAAAAGCACATATCAAACGAAAACTTTTGCAGAAGTCAGGAGGACATAGAGTTCATTTTCTTTCGCTGGTTGTTGAACCTATTTCTCTGCCGGGCAACAATGAATAAAAACTGGCGCAGACTTGATATCTGCTTGTCCCGGGGCGCTAGCGCTACTGATTTGTCCACCCCTGAGTGTAATACTGGTTTACTTCAGGTTGCTTTTAGTTCTCCAAAACACCCAGAAAATATTTACTCCTTCGTACATTCATTCATCTTCAGAAAACCTTTTATTCATGGTGGATCCGGAGCCTATCCCTGGAATACTGGGCTGGAATACACCCTGGATGAGATGCCAGTCTATCACAGGACACGATGCCTGCACATATTCACACACTCATTCACACCTAGGGGCAATTTAGCATAGCCAGTCCTCCATTCTGCAACATAGATATAAATTATTAACTATTCTGACAGCCAGAAGTTTGTGGGACTATAATGTTCAGAAAACGTTCTGCTAACCCAAAATGGTTAGCTGGAAAAAAGAAATCCAACACTGTGTTATAGCAAATATATTCCCATAGTCCTTATGACAGTGCTGTTAGTCGTTATGATTGACTCAAAGAGCCAAAGTTGACTTAGAATTAATGCTACAAACTGAATATAGACTAGTACACTTCTGGTGTGTCAGTTGCATCCAAGGAGCCTATTAAAGTGATTCACCTTATGTATCCAGTTTCAAAAGCATAGATGAGTCCAGTGCAATGGAGCATTAAGTAATCACCAGTCTACAGTGCACAAGTGTTTGGAAGCAGATCATCAAACACACGGCTGTTCTGAAAGCTTGAAGCAGGTCACATTCATTCAGTGCAACAGAGCCACATGCATCACTTCACACTTTTCCACCTCATACATCAAATCCAGCTCTATACACTGTGTAGGTGTTCTGAAGGTTTGACGCAGATGTTTTATTATAATTTATAATAGTGGTTTGTTTCTTATTTCACTCATGTACTGGGTTCTTGTCTGGCTTTCTCTATAAAGGACATATAGATTTGTAAGCTGAGTTAAGGGTGAACTTTTGCACAGACAGGTTAAAATAGGTTTTTTTTGTTCATTCCATATTCACATATCAGACTTTTTGACACTTATGGTACAGAATCAAGACTGTTACAAGTATTAATTAAGTTTAATGTCCATCATTTCATCTAATATTCGTATATTGAAACTGTGGTGTGTGTGTGTGCGTGAATGTAAAGTGATGCTTTATATGACCTGTATTTGGTCATTTTAATGGTCAATATAATCTGTGATCTTTGTTTATTTACTTACTCCATCTAATGAGCTTCCAGTGCAAATGGTATGTAGACAAAGTGATATAAATTTATTAGAGATCATCCTTTGTTTCCTGACAGGTGCTAATATCTTCTCTTAATCCAAGACGTCTGCATGCAAACTCGAAAAGTCTAATCCCGTCCACACATATACAGATATTTTGATATTGAAAATATTATGAAAATATTAAACATATT